CGACATTCGTAATGAGCAGAACATAGCCTTCTAAAAATGCTGTACAACCACCCTTCATGTGCCCTCGAAATTCACATGGATCCTGAAAAATACAAGTTAGTTTTTCATATGGAATAAAAAACAAGCTGATCAAAAATCAGTAAATAATCAGAAAGGTGGGAGCCCTCGCTGTGCTCCCTCTTTATGAGAGGCAGAGCGACGTTCGGAAGTAGCTTGATTGATAGCAAAAAAAAAAAAAAAAATGCCAACATCAACCACTTTTATCAGAGCAGTCGATAGCACTCTCTTTTGAGGACTGCTTAAAAGCTAACTGATAACGAGTTTGTCTTCTTGGCAAGCATCCACAGTGTTTTACTACGGAAACGAATGAACAAAATGCACTTGAGGGCAAAGGTTACTGATTGGTACTTGCGCAGTGTTAAAAAAACATGAGGAGGGACAGCCAGTGCGGCCAAAAAAATCTGCTCGAACAGCCATACCGAATTATGTGAATGAGAGATACTCAAAATGGAAGTTTTGGAGGAAAAGAAATGCGGCAATGAAAAAAAAGCTGACCGAAGCAAGTTATGAAATTAAAAACAATACCTGGCCACAACAGCTTGTTGCGTTAGCTTTTTTCTCGTTGCCAATTTCAATCGAATGCTTATTCTGATGACCTGCCTCGGACTTCACTTCAAAATGTCCAGAAATACACATTATTGCTGAGTAAAACGTAAGCTGAAATTTTTCCTGCATTGTTTCTTACCAAGATGGATGCCTGTGCTGGATTAATCCAGATGTGTCAGATACTTTTACCGATTCTAAGAAACATCTTGATAATCTCAACAATGCCTACTTTTTTCCTCGGGACTGCTAGTTCGCAGGATTTTCAGTTTTAATATAAACTGACGGAAGATTTTTTATTTTTTAACAAATATACCAGGAATACTAAACCGGACTATCAGTATGAGCGGTTCCTCAAGCTGGACACAACTATGTCAGGACCTTTGATGCTGGGCTGTGTACCTCCGCTTGTGGTCTTTTCCCGTTTGGTACATTTTAGCACATACCTTTTGAAAATTTTTCTTGTTTTTTCCCTCCTGCGAACTTTACAAGACAACTGCGGGTTTTTCTGTTAAACGCATAAACTCGCTGCTAGTTGGTAAGCTGGCCTATGACAGATAGAGCTTGACAAAGATTGTTGAAATCTCGAAACGGCTAGAGTTTTGACAAATGTTTTTTGTCGAAAAAGCCACAGAGAGAGTACTCTCCAGGTGATGAAACAAGTGTTGAAGTATCAATACAGCATCGACAACAAAACACCAACTTGGTAGACATAATCCATGAAAATGGAAGACATGTTGCCATAGCACAGTAATGTTATGGTGGGTGAACCAGTGAAGGTACCAACTGCATCCGCTAGGATATTTGTCAGTGCAGAGATCAGTATAGCCGGACCCGTATCATTTAGGACCTGAAAATTGCTCTTCAAAAATTGCTAGTACAAATTTTTTTTCTTTATGAGAAGTGTTTATAACTTCGTTTATGCCTCACAAGCAACAAACAAATACATTGATATATATGCATGTATATATATATATATATATATATATATACATATATATTTATTTAACGCTGGATAGTACAGTAATGAGAGCACAACTGCAGCAAGTACCAAGAATACACATCTAATTAAACAATTAATATTAGACAAAAAAACGAAATAATAATTAAAATAGTTGTCATCAAATTTTTTTGAAATTTTAGAAATTTTTGAATTAAACATAATTTCTGGAAAAGCCTGTAATCAAACGCAAATAATTAGTAGTTACAATTAAGCCTAGCACAGTGGCAAGGAGCGCCATTTTCATACTAAATATTGATATAAGTTGTCGCCAGTGGAAAAGCCAATGCCTTTAAGAATCATTTCGATGGTAAATTGGTACTGATACTTATACAGTAGCCCAAACCATCATCATCTGGCTTCTAAGCAACTCTTGACAGCCTTGTTAATGGATAGTTGCTTTAACAACTACTATCACTCGGACTACTTTCGTGTGCTCTCTCCAATTCCAAAATGTAATACTGAAAGAATTTAACTTTCGCTAATTGCGAATGGTGTCAACAAGGAATTCCTAAAATTAATTCCCTGAAAAAGTCGGGTCAGTTACTCCAA